CTCAAGTGCTCAGTTATTGCTGGTTGCTAGTTATGAGTGTGGGAAGGTGGTCTGAATATTGCCCCACTCCTCTCTTCTACCCCTACTAAAATTTGAATCCTCATACCTGGTTATTTCAATTTCCCCTAGAGGCTTTTGCATCTAGTGGGTTCAGGAATCAATTCTGGGGAGACTAAAGGATATTGACTGAGAAGGTTGGAAAGGAGTTGGTATAAAGTAAGCCTTTCTGTTACCTCTCCTCTGACCTTGTGCCCCAGTTCTAGAAAGCAGGTTTTAGCCTTGTTTCTATGAGCAAGACTTCACCTTCAGAACTGGTGTGCTTTGCTTGCCAGCCATCTGAAATCCCTGGGGCTTCGCTGTAGAATCTTAACCTTGTGGCAGCAACACTGGTTGCCAAATTTCCTGCGGTGTTTTTGACACCGGAGCAAATTGACTCCTTTACTTTTTCTTATCGTGATTGTAGGGCTCAGTGAAGGTGGTTTTGTCTCTGACTACTCACTGCCTGTTTCCCCCAAAGCTTAGTCTCCCTGCCCCCAAACCTCTTTGAACTTTTCGGCTGCTGTTCCGCTTAACCTCCACTCCCAGGTCCCTTAACACTAACACCCTGCCTGCTTGTGCTTCGCGTCACACCAGTTGCAGCGCCTAGCTCCCAGGACTCTCTCTTCGTGTCTGGCCAACTGCGGAGGGCATGTCTCCTTTCCTGAGCCAGAACCCTGTCAGGCTTATCCAGTTAACTGTGGGACGCTTCTCCTTTCTGTCGGAGGGCTAGAGGCTGGCTTAGCAGGGTTGGGGTGCAGGAGATAGAACTTTTGAGGGTGAGGGGAACCAGGGGTGGGGTTGCCTAGACCAAGTGCTCAAGTGGTGCTTCTGGAGGGCCATCAAATGAAAGGCGGCCAGAGGCAAATGTCAGAGCCTATATAGAGGCAGGAATCTGGGACCAGAGAGAGACAGAGCAAGCACTAGCAAGTCGGGAGCAGTGGGGCGGGTGGGCGGGCGGGCAGGCTGGCGGGCAGGAGGGGGGCGTGGCAGGGGATAGCTAAGAGAGATTGCAGAGAACAGCTGCTGGTATTGGGTCTTACTTTAATGAACTGGCTGGGCATGGGTCATAAACAAATTGGCCAGACTCAAAGGGCTAGGGGCGCAAAGGACACTCCCTCCCTCTTCTCTCTGACTGGCAAGGTAAGAGCTTCCTGGGTTTTGCCTGGTGGTTAACTGACATGGTTCAGGGATTTTTCTCAAGATGGGAGGTGGACTGCTAGGACTATTTCTTTGACTCATGTCTTTGCCATGGCACCAAGTGTTAAAGTAATAAAAATGCCAGCAGGAGGCCAGTATTTCTTTTACTGCAACCCCCAAGGCTAGAGATAGAGATGGGGGGCCCTGGTAATGTGATTGTGTTAAAGTGGACAGAGAACAGACCAAGTGGGTCATTATAGCACAGAGGTAGAGTAGGAGGCTCTGGAGGGAGACAGACCTGGAAAGCTATGTGGATGCTGGTAAATTATTAACCTTTCTGGCCCTAGCTTTTTTTCATTTGTACAATGATGATTTCCCATCCAGCCGAGCCATCAAGTAATTTCTGACTCATAGCAACTGCCACATGTAGTTTCCAAGATGGTATGTCTTTCTCCCTTGCAGCAACGGATGGATTTGAACTACAGACCTTTGAGTTAAGCACCAGTGTGATTTAACCACAGCATTACCAGGAGTCCTGAAGAGGAAAATAATGTGATTTAACCTCTTAGTTTCACTGGGGGAACCAAAGGAGATGATGCTTACTAGTCAATTCAATCTCAAGAAATCTCAGCTGTTGTTATGTTTTGTCGTTGTTGTTGCTGATAATGTTTTGCTGTTGTTGCTGCTGCTAATATTATCATTATTAGGAACTCTGATGTGGAGTCTGTAGCATGTTGTGATGCTAACGAGAGGTGGCACATCTCCAGCAGTTCGACCCCATCAACGCCACTTCTTAGGAGAAAGATGGGTATTCTTTTCCTTTTACAGCCTTGGAAACTCATTGAAGGGTCACTGAGTAAGAACCCACTCTATAACAGTGAGTTTGAGTGTTTTCTAGGCTCAGGGGAGAAAGATGGACAGTTTCCTCCCTTATAATTTACAGCTTCCAAAAACCCACTGGAAGGTTCTGACTTGACAGCAATGAGGGATTCCTACCCCCCTTTATTTTTTAGTTATTGTCATGCATGTAAAAATGTCACAAGATTGAGTACTTTTGTGACATTGTTGCAAAGTAGAAAGCTTTCCGTTTGGCTGCTATGGAATATGGACATTGCTCTCCAAGCTGTGTGCCAAGGAGCCTTTTCTGTTTCTGTTAGAGGAGTGAATTGGAGCGATGAGGCTCCAGGATTGCCCACCCTCATGTTGTCTGTGAAGCTCCAAATTTGTTTGCTTTGTAAACTGGGCTTCAAATAAGCAGTGGTCTAGGATGTCATAGAAATAAATGAATGCAACCTTAGGCATACCAGAGGTTAGGCAACCCCGAGGAGGGGATGAGAGTTAAAAGTATACAGTTTGTTACTGTCGCAGTGACTGTATTTTAAACTACTCATGTTGCAAGTCTGGATCAGTCCTTGGAGAGGGTAGAGGGATAGCACAGGAGAGGGGGACCCTCGATTAAATGGATTGATTCAGTCACTGGGATAATGGGGGTAGGTTTATCAGAGACAAGAAGATTGGCAAGAGATAGAGCAGGGTTTAGGGCTGTTGTACATAGGGTTGCTGTGAGTCACAGGAGACTTGACGGCACATAACAGCAACTACTAATTGGGGAAAGCTGGTAAGCTGGGATAATATTGTTACCTATTGTGAAAAATTATTCAGGATGTCATGAAGTGCAAATGGGACAAAATTTGTAAAGTCCTACAGTGCTTAGCACGTACTACTCACAAACAAACCCCCCAAACAGTCCCTCAAACTCATTGCTGTGGGATTGAAATTGACTCGAAGCTGACCCCACAACAAATTTTCAGAGGCTGTGAATCACAAGGGAGGAAATGGCTCATCTTTTTCCCAAAGAGCAGCTGGTGGATTACAAGCTGCCTTCCTTGGAGTTGCCAGTACAACTTCTTCCACCAAAGTTCCCCAGAACATATTAAATGAGCAAGAAATGGTAATAATTGTTGCTTAGTGCCATTGTGATAAGGAAGACTCACGGTGACCCTCTGAACAATGGATCTGAACTCTGTCCTATCCTGTGCCATCCTGGCCATCTCTAGCATACTCACTGTTAGAGTCACTGTGAATGGTAATAATAGTGGTCATTGTTCATAATATTTTAAAAGCCCCCAAACCAGTATAATACCTGGATTTTCAGTTCTTAGAATACATCACCTAGTCATTGAAAAGGAAGACATTCAGGACCATCAGAGTAATAAAATGGATACTGGTGATCTAGAGGGTAGGTTAATAACCAACCCAAAGGCAGGTTATTGGAAGCCACCAACTTCTCTGTGGGAGAAAGAAAGACGAGCAGTCTCCTGGCTTGTGATTTACAGCTTCTGAAAACACGCTCGAAGAAGAGGTTATGAGTTGGTTCTGACTCAAAGGCACACAACAACAACAGCAGCAAACCCCTGTCAGAATTCAGTGAGCCCGGGGTACACCTGATTGTTGTTGTTGTTGTTATGTGCCATCGAGTCGCTTGCGACTCCTAGCGACCCTATGTACAACAGCCCTAAATTCTGCTCTGTCCTGTGCCAATCGCTCCGTCTCCGACACACTCATCCCGATTACCCCAGTCACTGAATCAATCCACCTCGTAGGGGGCTTTCCCCTTCTGCACTGTCCCTCCACCCTACCAAGCATACTTTTTCAACTTGTATGCAGAACAGATTATCCGGGAGGCTGGGCTCTATGAGGAGAAATGTGGGGGTCAAGATTGGTGGAAGATCTATCAACAGCTGATTACCCTGCAGTAAAAAGCCTCCCAATTCTAACTAGCTGGCTGTGCGGCAGGACAGAACACAACCCAGGAGCCTGAATTTCCCACAATTGTCCAGAAGGTGGTGCTGCTGCTTCATCAGAGCCAGGACTGTCCAGGCACTTGGCTGCTGAGGTTGCTGACATTTGTAACTTTTATAAACCGAGAAATACCTGACCCCATTGCCACAATCACGGTGTCAATCCATCTCATCCAAGGTCTTCTTCAGGATAGAGCAAGAGTCAGACACTGTTCAGAGGATCTCTATGAGTCATAGTCGACTCAACGACACATAACAACAACAAAAAGCAACAACAAAACTAAGAAGTTATGTGCCTCTGTGAACCGGGTACATTGGTTTGAAAAAGATAGAGGTAGAGGGATGTTTGCTCTAGCTTCAAGTAAGTACATTGATTCACAGCTTTTAAAATCTGTATTGACTATCTAATGGCCAATCTTACAGACCATCTCCAAGGTCATGTAGCTGACAGACTACACATTAAAACAGGACTCTACCCTGAGTAGGGCACTCTGGTGGCTTGTTGTGATTTGTTGTGTTTCATAAAGTTGGAAATGACTCATAGCTGACCCTCCAGCAGGTTTTCAGAGGCAGTAAATCACACTACAGGAGATTGTGCTTCCTTCTCCCCTGGAGCAGTTGGTGGATTCAAACTGCATGCCTTTGGGATTGCACTACAGCTTCTTACCACTAGGACACCAAGAGCCACTCGTCACTTCGTAGTAAGGATTTGCACTGCCAGAGCAAAAGTATATGATTCAAATACACTAACTGCTCCATAGGAGAAAGATGGACAATCTCCTCCCGTGTGCTTTTCTGCCTCTGAAAACCCTCTGGAGGGTCTGCTGTGGGTTGGTTGCAACTCAATGGCACACAACAACAACAACTACTGCCATGAATTTTTTGCCTACTTTTTTCAGTCTTGTTGAGAATAGCTTTGACTTCTAAACTTGTTCCCTCTTTACAGATTCCATTGCCACTTGAGCTTCAGCAAGACTTCTGATATCCTCATTTTAGGGTGCCCCTCTACGCTACTCTGTGACCATGGCTGAATTTCCGGTGACCTTGCATTCACTGAAATTTGACAACATGCTGAGAGAGGAAAATACAGACTCACAAAACAAGGATCCGGCTTTCTCTATACCAGCGACAGAAAACAGAGCAGGGGTCCAAGTTCTACAATCTCATGCACAATTGCCTGTAGCCTCGACTTCAGCCTCAGCCTCAGAACCTGAAGGGATGTGTGCACAAGTCATGACACCCTCAGCCTTCGACACTATGCATGAACCTCAGATGGGTGCATCAAATCCTGGAGCACCGTCCTCACCTCTAACACTGTCCTTGGACTCTGGAACCCTGTCCCCGCTGCTGATGCCAGGCTCAGATTCTGAGGCATTGTCCCCATTGTTAATGTCAGTCTCAGACTCTGGAGGGCTTTCTCCATTTCTGTCCACTTCCGACTATGGGTTAATGTCCCCAGGGACGGCTCCTGACTATGGGATGATGCCCACAGCAGTCATGGCAGCACCAGATTCTGGAGAGATGTCAACACTGACCATGTCAACCTCATCCTCTGATGTGATGGCTACACCTGAAATGAGCACTCCATACTTGGGAGAAATGAGCACTCCATCTTTGGGAGCAGTTTCCACTCCATTAATGCAAACCCTAGATCCTAGAGAGATATCACCACTGCTTGTGCCAGATAGAAACCCTGCAGAAACATCTGCACAGCCAGTGACAGGCCCAGACACTGAAGCAATGTCTCCTTTACAGATTACAGATGAAGACACTGAAGCAATGTCTAAAGTCCTAATGACTGCTCTTGCTTCTGGTGAGTTATCATCCTTGTTCACATCAGGTACAGATTCTGAAATGATATCATCACTGATAATGTCAGCCTTGACTTCAGAATCAATGGCAGCCCAGTTTAGGAGAATCCAAGACTCTGGGGGAATGGCCACACCAGTGATGCCAGAGTCAGGCTCTGGAATGATGGCTTCATTGCTACCGCCAGTTTCAGGCTCAGGACCAATGTCCGCACCACTACTGACAGCCCCAGATGCTGGAGAAATGTCCATGTTACTAAAGCCAGCCCCAGACTCCAAAACTGTATCCCCATTGCTGTTGACATCTATTGACTCTGGAGGGATGCCAGCCCAGCTAATGCAGGGCCCAGGTTCTGAAGTGATGCTAACACACCTAGACTCTGAAGTCATGTCTACTAAGCCAATGAGAACAACAGCTTCTGGAGTGATGTCCACACATCCCATGAGAGCTTCAGACTCCACAGTCATGTGCACTCCACCCATGAGAGACACAAGCTCTGGAAATATGTCTACATTGCCAAAGGTAGTCCCAGCCGCTGAAGTCATGTCCACCCCACTGATGACAGCCACAACCTCTGGAGCAATGTCCACTGAGAAAATGCCAGCTACAGCCTCTCGAGTGAAGTCCACACAGTCATCAATGACCAAAATCCCTGGATCCATGTCCACAGGGTTTCTGAATGCTTCGGCTGGTGGAATAATGTCCACACAGCAGACAAGAGCTTCAGTCTCTGGACTGATGATCACACCATTGATGACAGTTACAGCCCCTGAAATGATGGCCATGCCACAATTTACAGCCTCAGCCTCAGGATCAATGTCTACACTGCAAATGAGGACCCAGGATTCTGGGGCAAAGTCCATGTCGCAGATGCAGATGAGAGCCACAGCCTCAGGAATGATGCCTGCACCACAAATGCTAGCCATACCTCCAGGCGCAATGTCCATTCCACTAAAGCCAGCCAAAGCCTTGGGGTCAATGTCTACACAGTTGACAAGAGACACCAGTGTGGGAGTGATGGCTCTGCCACAAACGAGCGTGATGGCCTCTGAAGCATTGTCCAAGCCACTAATGACATCCAAAGTCTCTGGAACAATGTTCCCACAGCAAATGGCACTTACAACTTCGGGCGAGGTATCGGCAACACTTATGGGAAACATAGCTTCTGGAGAAGAAATGATCATGCCACAAATGACAGCCGGCTCTGGAGGGATGACCAGGTTGCTAGTGAGAGCTCCAGGCTTGGGAATGATTCCAGCCCCACAAATGACACCCACAGCCTCCAGAGAGATGTCTATGCCACCGAGAGCCCCAGCCTCTAAAGCAAAGCCCAAGTCAAGAGTAAGATCCACAGCCTCTAGAAAGGGATCTAATCAACCGAAGAAGACCCAGCACTCTGCAGGGATGTCGACATCACCCAAGAGATCCACAGGAGGCCGAAAGAGGTCCACACTGCAGCCACAAACCCCAGCCTCTGAAGTCATGTCTGCTCCCCAAATGCCCATCTCAGCCTCTGGAAAGATGTCCATGCCACTGTTAAGGGCTTCAGCTTCTGGAGAAATATATAGAGTGGGGCAAGTCCCTGCTTATGGAGTGATGCCCACTCCACAAATGCCTTCTCCAGCCTCTGGAATGATGCCCATGACACAAATAAGAATGCCAGTCTCTGAAGTGATATCCACTCCACTAGTGAGACCCATAACTTCTAGAGCCATGCCTTTACCTCAGATGATACCCACAGCCCCGGGGGGAAAGTCCGAGATGCTGATGAGACCCTCAGGCTCTGGAGCAATGTCCACACCAGAAGTGATGCCTACAGCTTCTGCAGGGATGTGTGCAGATTTCATGAGTGCTTCAGCCTCTAGGAGGATGTCTGTGTCACAGGCAACAGCCATGGCCTCTGTAGGGATGTCCATGCCACTAATGAGAGAGATGGATTCTGGAGCAATGCCTATGTCATTGATGCCATCCATGGCTTCTGGAGAGATGTGTATGCCAAGAAAGAGGACCCCAATCCTAGGAGCAGCATCCACACTGCAAACAAGAACTCCAAGCTCTGTATCTCCATCAACAGTACAAATTACAGCCTCTGGTGTGATGTCCACATTGGCAAAGAGAGCTTCGTCTTCTGCAACAATGTCAGATCCAAACCCGAGAGATTCTTCATTTTCTGGAAAAATGTCCATGTTGGCCATGAGGGCCACAGCCTCTGAAGGGATGTCTGAGCCCCGAAAGGCAACCCTGCCTTCTGGAGGGCTGTCAAGGCCATTAATAAGAGCTCCAGCCTCTGGAGCAGGGTTCACCCCACAAATGAAAGTTACAGCTTCTGTAATGATGCCCAGTACAGAAACCCAAACTGCAGATGCTGGGAAGACAGCAGCAGCCTCTGGGTCAAAGTCCATGCCACCAAAGACAGTGACAAACCCTGAAATGAGGAGTCTACCTCCACAAGAAGTCCAATCCTTTGGAATGTTAACCCCAGCCCTCTGCTACCTCTTAGAACAGCAGGAAGCGGCCCGGGCTTCATGCCCTGCAGAAGAAGAAACGGAGATTGACGAGGAGAAGCAGATGAAGATTTTCTTGAACGATCCCAAGAAAATGGCTTTTCTGGTGTCACTTCATTTGGGAGCAGCAGAACGGTGGTCCATCTTAAAAATGGAGGTAGGGAAATCCCTTTCAGCTGAAAATCGATCTTTCCTGACCAGATCAAAGGGTTTATATGACTCCTTGTCTGAGGTAGACATCCTCAGTGCTGTTCTTTGCCATCCCAAGCAAGGCAAGAAGTCAGTCAGGCAGTATGCCACCGACTTCCTTCTGCTGGCTCGACATTTGTCTTGGTCTGATTCCATTCTGCAGACCAGGTTTCTGGAAGGGCTCTCCGAATCTGTTGCCACCAGAATGGGCCAGAACTTCCTGAAGGTGGCCGGCAGCCTAAAGGAGCTGATAGACAGGTCTCTTTACACTGAGTGCCAGCTGGCTGAAGAGAAGGCTTCCCCAGGCAACTCAAGCCAGAATCTGCCATCAGCCTGTAAGCGGAGTAATGAAGAGGCAATGGAGAGTGAACTAAGTTCCCAACAACAGACTGAGGAGGTAATGATGGGGGAATATACTCAAGGGTTTTTTTGTTGTTTGGGTTTTGTTTTGTATTGTTTTGTTAAGCTGGAAAATGAGTCAGAATAAGGAGGAGGAGCCACTGAAGTCCCAGACAATAAAATCCACAATGGAGTTTCATCAGTGAGCACAGCTATACAGTTACTTTAATTTATTTTATATGTGTTAACTATTTTAAGGAGCAATTCCCTATCCAAGATGCAGAGGGTCTGGGATGGTGGACAAAATATTCTCACATCAAATCCAATTCTAAGACAGGGGATCTTCTATTGGTGGGTGGGTTCCACCTACATCCATACGTGTTTTGAACTCATGTTGTCAGGGAATTTGATTAGCCTTCCCTTTCATTACCCTTTATACAGGTAAGATAAATTGACCAAGTTCCTTGATCTGCTAAGCTGCTGAACTTATTGAGGCAGAATACCTCTTGTCAGAGTAAGTGTAGTTCTCAAATCTGCTGTTGTTTCTTCCCCTCCCCCCCATTACCAGCACCAGCATGTTTCCAAACGCCGTTACTACCTGAAGGAGCATGGAGACCCTCAAGAAAGTCTTCACGACCACCTTCGACACAGCACAAGCCATCAGAAGGGCCCTACTTACAAGTGATGCTCACCAGACACTTCTCCTGTGATATCTGACTCTAAGGCTAAATTGAAGACTGGTTCCTGGACCCACCCCATTCAATGACACCGCAAAACCTTGTTGCCTTCTCCCTCTAGCGTCTTTATCTGTGCACACTCTGCCTTACCTGCTGCTCAGCTGACGTGACCTTATCCTTCACTCTACATGCCTGTGATGTGCCCTGACAATCAGAGATCATAATAAGAGGGTATATAGTATAAGAAGTTCTGAACTACCATCACCATTGAGACCACTCTTGAGTTCTCAGTCCAGGACGCAGTCTAGGCAGGAGAAAAAAAAACACCCCCTCTGCCCCCTGTGTCTTGCCATGTGTCATCAGATAAATGTGAGGAGGCCCTGGCCCTATTTCATCTGGCACAGGAGCCTGTGAAGAGAGTGATACCCATTCCTATATTGCCTTTGACCCTTTTAATCCGGTAGATTTGCCTTTATATGCTACAACTTGTAACTAAATCAAGCCAAACCTATTGCCATTGAGTCAATTCCAACACTGCCCCTTTAGGAGAGAGTAGAATTGCTAAACACAGTTTCTAAGGCTGTGATCTTTTGCAGGAGCAGACTGACACGTATTTCTTCTTTGGAACAACTAGTGGGTTTGAACTGCCAACTTTTTAGTTAACTGCTCAGTGCTTTAACCAGGGCTCCATTCCACAACTCATAATACCTAAAATGGGTCTCAAGGGCCCTTGCCCTGTTTAAAGTCTCAATCCTGACCTATTAATTTTGATCCATAATAATAAGAGTTGTCTCTCTCTCCCCTCTCTCCTCTCTCACCCCTCCCCTCTCTCTCCCCTTTTCCCTCTCCCCTCTTCTCTCTCTCTCTCTCTCTCTCTCTCTCTGTTGTTGAATCAGAAACGACTCATAACTTTACCTCCAGTGGGTTTTTTGGAGGCTACAAATCATATGGGAGGAGATTGTTCGTCTTTCTTCTTTGGAGCCACTGGTGGACTTGAACTACCAGAAAGACTTCACCTTTGCATAAACTCCCTACACAGTATGCCTCTAGAGTCATCTGATAATAGTAATAGTATTGTTTAACTTTTGTAGATTTTGTGCTTTGTGACAGCTACTGGCCCAAACTGTTGATAAGCATCTTCTCATTGCATTCTTTCAATTACCCCAACTTGTTCTTGTGCTGTTAGTCTCTGAACTCTGGATCTGCTTTGGCCTTTGACTTGTCCCCAAGTATTGTATCTTTTTTGTGACTTCTGAGTGATCCTTCAACTTCCCTCACTACCCTTAGCTGTTGTGCTTCACGGCCAGCACTCTTGATAGGGGTCTTGGTCTCCAAACAGGCATAGCTATTTAGAAATTAATGTAAACAGTATTTGCCTTTTGGTGGTGGGCTTATTGATGTTTTATAATTTTCTTCTTTATACTTCTCTGTATTTTCCAGACTCTCTATATTAAGCATGTATTGCATTTGTAATTATTAAAGTGAATAAAGTTAATTTGCGAAAAAAAGTATGGCTTATAAAATATGATTTATTGAGTCCTTCAGTCAATCACTATTTATTATCACCCTGTTTAGGGAGATAGTTTCCATAAAGATCACATTCTGGTGGGGGATGGCAGACAATAACTAAGAAAACACATAATTAATTGGGTTAGCATCATGGTGAAAACTTCCAAGGCAATGAATCACAAGAATGGGGACTTTGATACCCATAGAACCAATTTTATTTATTCAATAATATTCCATGTAAGGGGGTTATTCAAAGATGCAAGTCTCTGGGAACTCAGATCTCCATCTTTTTAGCCCTGTTGATTAATATCCGGCCCATTGTAGTTTGGATCTCCACATTCAGCAGGCTTGCTCAGGAAAGAACTGTGGAGTTTATTCTCCTGCAAAAAAAAAGTTGATAATATGGCATTCAGAACTCATGTTTGCACAGTGTATATGGCAAAGAGGATGCCTTAAAAATGATACTGATTTTCTTATGGCTATGATAAAGGGAAGCAAATACCAATTTTTCCTTTACTTTTCTCTCAGTCATCCTTTCACTTGCTTTTTACCTCTCCTCTTCCTCCAGCTCCCATCACAAGTGCTAAATGGAAGAAATAAAGCCCAATCATATACTGCCAGGGAGCTCAGTCCCTGCTCCTCTTCCCACTCCATCCACTCCAAAGGTTATATTTAGAAATGTTTTAAGGGATACTCTGCATCTACATGAAACTTGCTATCATATGCCCAAGTACTTGAGACAATCTCTTCTCCTGGAAAATGGTGTCTCAGATTTATTTCTTCAGCCTCTGGGTAAAAATGAGGTCCCATCAACAGTAAAAACTCAGATACCATCAACTTACATCCCATATCTGTATGTTAACGGTCACTTCCAGATTACTTCTGGAAGATCTTGGCAGTTTCTCACACTCTGAGCCAGTTCTCTACTGCTGCCCATCCACCCCCTCCCTGCCTCATGGATGTCAGCTGCCAACATTGCCACTTGAGGGCAGCCCCTTGGCCTTGTTCCTGCTGCCGCCTCTTGCTCCATGAACATGGAAGTCTTGAGAAGCGTGAGGCAGGGATTCTGGGGTACTCAGGATTGCACATCCACAAGGGCCCTAAATGGTGCTGCCTTCCTTTCAGGTAGCTTTGGTTAAGAGTCTACTTAGAGGGAAAGGGAAATGGCCCACTTCATTCACCTAGGCATTGAGACAACATTACTTCTACCCTGAATCTCAGATGCTTATGAAGGACAATGACTTCAGTGTCTCCTTGTAGAACCTCTCCCTGCCCTGGGTTCAGATATCCAGAATTGGTCCTTGTATTTGAGGAACAACTGCCATTATAATATCCTTTTTCTAAGCTTTCTAGCCCTTATTTCTTCACTCTTCTCCCTGGCGTCCATACCTGCCTTGAAGATGTTGTAAATTCAGATTTTTGTCTTTGAAATTACTTTCCTCCATGTAAATAGATGCCAGGAATCCTCTCCACACATTTAGTCCTTGGGGCCCAGTTGAAGAAGAAATGTCATCATATCCCATTTCCTTACCATTTTACCATCCACTCATTCTACCACCTGGTCTCTGTCTCTGCCTCCCAAAGACCAGTTTGATACAAGTTCTTCTCTCAAAGACCACTTTTGCCATGCAAGTACCTTGGTCAAGGTGCTGCTAGGCAATGCTTCGGATAGTCTATAGACTCCTTTGATTCTCTCTTCGGGCATAGTCTAGATCCCATAACATAAGCTAATTTTGATCAGCTCAAATTAGGTGTCAATTTCCTCCAATTGGCCACTGCTTGAGACCGTCAATCATTCTCAACCCCATCAGAATGTTACAGATAAAGTATCTTACTCTACCTCAAATATTTCCCCCGTCCCACTATGGATCATGTATTTCCTTCCTTCTCACCTAATCAGAAAGTTTTGTGCAATTTGGACATTTCAGAGCTAGAGACTGGAGCTCACTCCTAGGCTCCTCATGACATGAGAGGATGATTTACAAAGCAATGCATTGGACTCTATTTGATAGTAACTAATAGCAGACGTCATAGCAGTGGGTGGGAATGATCCCTGGAAGGTAAATTTGAATTTAAGTACCTTTTTCTTTTTTTAACTAAATGGTCCAGCTTTCCTTGTAGGGACTCAGTTTCCTCATCCCTAAAGTGAGGATAATTGTAATTGCCCTGTTAACTTCATGCAAGTGTTTGGAAAACTCAAATGCAAGAGAGGCCCATGAAAAATTTTGGTTCTATCTGTAAACCTTGGCTCAACCCTAAAAGTAATGAAAGATGCATGAGAGTAAAGGTAGGAATAGTACTATTTGGGATGTATTCAGGACCTGCTAAGTATCTTTAAGGACTCTAAATTATGGGAACAGACTAAAAAGTAAATCTCTAGTTGAGGACTGACAAAAGTCACAACTTAACATTAACATCTTTTGAGCCCTTGTTACATCCTGAAGCCCTGGGTGATTTGTCTTGCATGAATTAACTCGTAACAGTAGGCTTTGCAACAACCCTGAGAGATGCTTGCTCTCACTGATCGTATTTTACAGATGGAAAATCAAGGCACAGAAGCATTGATTAATGGCCTACAGCCATAGAGTCAAGCAGTAGAGCTGAGATTTGAAGACATACGTTGTTAGTTGTTGCTGTTAGGTGCCGTAGAGTTGAGCATGACTCATAGTGACCCTGTGAACAAAAGATCTGAACTCTGCTCCATCCTGCACTATCCTCACACTTCCTGACACACAACAACCTGTTGCAGCAGTCATTGTATCAATCCACCTGGTTGAGTGTCTTTTTCTCCTTTGCCGACCCTCCACTCTTCCCAAAATCATGTCCTTCTCCAAGGAATACACCTCCTAGCATCTTGTCCAAAGTATGTGAGGCAAAGCCTCATAATTCTTGCCTCCAAAGAGCACTCAGGCTATACCCTCTCCAAGAACTATCTGTTCATTCTCTTGGACATCTATTGGATGTTCTCTTCTCCAACACCACAACTCAAAAGTATCATTTTTTTTCCTGTCATCCTTATTTATTGTCCAGGTCTTGGATGCAAAGCTAGTATTGGAAAGACCATGGCCTGACTCTGACACACATTAGTCCTCAAACTAACACCACTTTTCCTCAATAATTTGGAAAGGCCCCTAACTAACTGCAGATTTTCCCAGTGCAGTACATTGCCTTATTTCCTGACTGCTCATAACAAGGGGGTGAATTAAAGGGCGATACAGCACTGTCTGTCAGTTTGCTGTACTAAGATTATTTGAGGTTGCTGTGATACTGAAATCTGCGCCACTGGTGTGTCAAATTCCAAAAGGGTTTCCCACTGTGGACAGGTTTTGGTGGAGCTCCCTGATTAAGACAGACTAGGAAGCAGGATGGGCCATCTATTTTCTAAATGAAAGGCTTTTGAAAACACCATGAACAGTAAACAAGATAGTTATAGTAGTAGTGTATTTGAATAAATATGGACTGACCTTAAAAAATGGCTTTGATATTTAGAACCAGAAGG